CCCATTTCTTAAAGCAACAATGGAAGTCATGCGATTACCATATATGGGCATTTTTTTACCAAAAAAAGTGAAGCCCGTTTTTTGGAATTTGTAGTTTTTTGCATGAATTAAAACTAATTTGCTTTTAAGTGAACATTCTTGAGTATATAAGAAATATATTGATCCACTCAATTATGGATTAAACTATTTTTTTCTCTCAAAATGTGTCTTCAAAGTCTAGGTGTTGACCAAAAAAATCGGTCACTGGAAATTAAAATCGTAATTTTCTTTCTTAACTTCTCGGGAAGCTATGCTGAATTTAAATTATGTCATGTAACCTAACTTTGACTATGACATGTCAAATTTGTGCCACTTAATACGCTGTAATACGCAAATGTGCCACTTCGATGTGTCGATATTTCTGACGAAGCGGGGCCGATAGTAATTTACGAGTTACGTCCCTTTGTTTGACACTCTCATGATCAAACTATTATTATATTAAGCACCATATGCTGTTATTTACATGAGGATATTTATTAAAATAATATTATTGAATATCTTTTGATACTAAAGACATGTGCAAAAAAATTAGCGAAACACATTTTATCACTTTTCAGAACTCAGTCTCAGTGAAATACTCAAATCATGAGGCCCTATGTCAGTATGTGCCATAATATTATTATTCCAAGAGTTAATTTAATATTTATATTTTGGTAAGTATTTATACTGCTGTAACCAAATTATTTCAACACAGAAATAAATTTCTAATTTAATCATACAAGGGGTAGCCAAAATATTAATGAATAATGGATCAAGACAGGATTAAAATGATCAAATACAGGAACTCCTTTTCATTACTGATACCTGATCCTACCTTTTTCATTTAAACTTAAACGAGAACATAATGAAAGTATTCTGAGACTGAATGTAAATTCTTCATTATTTGAAATAAAAGGAAATTACTTAATTAGTTTGCAATTCTTGTATGAAAAAACAAAATATAACAATCAATTATGTCTCACTGATTCCATGCAGATTCTAATGAATGGACTCAAATTATAAAAAAAACACTAAACCAATAAATTAATGGTTCTAATCATGAACTTGAAAATAGACAAGAACAAAAAACACTGGGTCTAATATTTTTCTTCTTCTATTTTTTTTTTTTAACAATTATGCATTTTTATATTTATATAAAAGTATTTCAGAGCAGATTCTGAGTGCTAAGTCAACAATATTATGTTTTAGATCACAAGTCATAAGTAAGTCACACTTCATGTCAGTATGAACATGCTTTGAATAAGAGTGATTAAAATGCTAGTCTGAAAGAGATTGTTTTAAGTTCATATTCAGGACAAGACTTTTTCATTTACCTTTGGCAGTTTTGCAGCATTACTTCATCACAATTTTTTTTATAATATTATAAACGATGAATGAGTTTTGGTTAAGGTTGTGTAAAGACAGTATACGATTTCCTTACCTTGTTTTAGTTAAGTCAAACAATTCACTGACTTAAAGAGAATAATTAATCCAGTCAAATATTCACAGCTGAACTCGCCATTGCTTATTCAAACAAACACACTAAATGTGTGTACATTGTGTAAAGATGCAAGTTGACATCGATGTGTAAGATAAAAAAACTACAATGTCAAAAAATGTCTTTCGTTTGGAATTTAGTTCGAACGGGGTTTCCTAAGGGGTGATAGAACATTAGACTTGATTTTTGTTTTAACTTTGAGATACTTATTATTAATTTTTTATATAGTTTGTATAATCTTTGTTTATCTGGAAAAAAAAGAAGAAAAAAATAACAGACAATTTCGCATAATTCTTAAACGACGATCAAAGGCATTACGTTATTTTTAAAAGACGGACAATTTATAACATGTTTAAGTATTATTTTCTTTGATAATAAGAACCATGCTTGAAAAATCGAACGAAATCTATTTTTGACCCTAATGGCAAGTAAGAAACAGAAAAAAGAAAAAAATCCAAATTGTCGCCAAATTATTTTTTCCGCGAAATTAACGCAATTTCAGAATGGCGGGTTTTAATATCAGTCCCATTGTTGTCTTAAGAAAGTAGCAACAACGGTCGTTTCTAAGGGCTTGCTTTCCGACTGGATAGAGAGAAACTAAACAGACTAAATGATCAGCAATAAAAGATCAACAAAACAGAGATTTTTGTCATGAATTATATTCTCGTCTACCATGTTGGAGAGTGTCCTTTGTTGAATATGCACATAGACAAAGGTGAGCGACACAGTCTCTTTAGAGCCTCTAGTTTTTCACGCGAACTTTTTTACGCAATTTTACAAAATAAAGAGACGAAAGACATATGATTTTTGTTTAATCTCTTCAAAGATACATATAGAATAACCATACATTGTCTCGAAATATAAATTTTATTTGTACAAGGCTTACAAACAGGTAGAACGAGAGGCTGTGCCGAGCATTTCTATCCTGTTTTGAGCCTCGTACAAATAAAATTTATATTTAGAGACAATTTATGGTTATTCTTAAATACTGCAATTCCTACAACTGTTCCAAATGAAATATTTAGGTAAAAACCATCATTTTTTAATTTGGAGCTAACGACGTAAAAATTCCGCGAAACTGTACTTTTAATGACGTCATAAATAAAACTCATTCACGCATTCTCAAGGTCATAAAAAAGGCGATATACGGTCAATGACTGTATATCACAAATGATTATATGGTCAGTGCAATTTGACTGCGCAAATAGCACAGCTGCAGTATATATGTAAATAATTTCAGAAAAGGTATCACTCAAAGGGATTGAAATTCTACTTTTGGCAAAATTTTTTGGGGAAATGTGACATTTTCACACCCCTTTTTACAATATTTTATTGCAAATAAATGCAGATTGTTGCCTTGAATACATAATAAAGAAATTATATTTCACCATTTTAACTACTGAAAATCAAATCTATGGAAGATAGAGTTGTCTCATTGGCACTCATACCACATCTTCTTATATCTAAGATATGATTACATACATTTACACATATATGACACAACCAGTAAGCTTAATTTGTAAGAAGGCAAGGAAAAGGGAATGGTAAATTCTTGAGAGTCAGTTTTAATTTTTTTCCTAACTGCATATTGCTATACCAAAGAGAAAGAAAAAAGACAAGAAATAGCACGATAAACAGATTATCCGGTTATCTACGTATAGGTATCCGGCGTAAAATATCAGCCGGTCGACACAAATGTGAACCTGGTTCGCTACACTCACTCGCCCAAAAGGTTCACATTGTTGCTGATAATTAACGATGTATATATGCAAACAATCCGATAATCTATACTTATTCACCGGGGAATAACAATCCGAGCCTAATTGGTAATGTATTAATTTATACACGAATTATGACGTCACGGACGTCTGTAAACAAAATGGCAACGGTTAGGTTAGGAATTAAACTTCTCGGTTGAGGAGAAAACAAGGTCTGAAAATTCATCCAGTGCCGAGGGAAGCCTTCTTTCAGGACCATCAATACTTTACAGAAAGAGTCTACTAAGTCAGGAACCTGATGTTCAGTGGTTGTTGTTTGTTGATGTGGTTCATAAGTGTTTCTCGTTTTTCGTTTTTTATATAGATTAGACCGTTGGTTTTCCTGTTTGAATGGTTTTACACTAGTCATTTTTGGGGCCCTTTATAGCTTGCTGTTCGGTGTGAGCCAAGGATCCGTGTTGAAGGCCGTACTTTGACCTATAATGGTTTATTTTTACAAATTGTGACTTGGATGGAGAGTTGTCTCATTGGCACTCATGCCACATCTTCTTTTATCTATATACTAGTAGTCGCCGTCATGTAAAATTGGCACCAGGTTTTTGATCAAATACTTTAAAGTCTAGCAATCACTGTCCTACCTGTTATGGTGATTGTACGGTATTATCCGACTTTCACATTATCTTAAACGGTTTTCCATTGTAAATCCACCATAGTAGCCAATGGTCTGCAATAGAATATTTCTTTAGACTTACGTTACTATTGAGCAAAAGTTTCGAGGGTCCGAAAAATATGTAAATAAACTGAACGTAAAACTCCACGGCAACACTTTCGGTGAAACAATGTCCGATTCCATCATTGAAAATCGTCTAGTATATTGTGAAGGTCAGGATTATACCGTGCAATCACAGTAAAAGGTGGGACAGTTAAAGTTTTTTTCTGAATAACTTGGGTTCCTCTTCATTGTAAAACGTCATCTCGAATGAACGCGATTGATAGTTTAAAAATATTTGATCAAAACACCGGTGCCAATTTTACATGACAACGACTATAAGATACAAAATAATTCTCTGCTGTAAGCAAATATGTTGCTACAGTAAGACACGTGCTTCTTTAACATTTATATTCGATGATTCGAAAGGCATTTCTTCTGTTAGTTCGGTATAATAAAACAAATGTGGCCCCTTAGAAGCGGTCAATATCCAAATTTGTCAATTCTAAAGAGTTATTCACTTCCGTTTCCGCACTTATGACAAAATCCTTTTAGGGTTGACAATCTTGGAGATTCACCTTTTCTTAGTATATAGCTCTGTCTCGAATTGAATATTTTCAGTATTTGAATTCAGGGATTATTTTTCTTTTCCCTTTTTTTTTATTATTATTTCATATGCTTTTAATGTGGATAAAGTTGAAAATGACAGGAACTATATCTTTTTTTCTACGCGTCTTCCTATAGTTTGATGTTGACAACACCTATTGTTTTATAACATCAGAAGAGTTAAATTACAGGATTTCCTTACTTTTAAAGTTATCTTATTTTATCTGAACTGGTAATCACGGTATTTCATTGCAACCAATGTAATAAAATAGGTTTTTCATGATTGAGTTTGAAACTTGAAACAAAAAACAAATAAGTATCTCCATTAAATATATAACAGAGAGAAAGAAAAAAAAACAACCAAACAATCAAAAATCTAAACTGATAAAAATAACATAAAAGATAACATTCTGCCTTTATTACAGCACATTGATTTTAACTGCAGGTATTTAAGTCGCTTGGCAATCTAGCGCAGCCAGATACCATTACCAAAATTGATCTAGCGAATCCAATTACAACCTTGAGTCTTCGATTATACCCTCAATTATGGGAGGGTGTTCCGTTCTTTAAACTCAAATTGAAACTCTGCGAACCAGAATATATGGATGCTCCTTCCATGAAGGCAAACGCGACAATAACTAATTCAGATTCTCGGATCATTAGAACTCCGAAGAGAAACGTCGAAAATCCTAAAGTTTCTATTATTAGAAACAGAGAAGCTGATATTCGCCTTTCTAAGAAATTGAAGCACCTCTTCCACACTCCTGCTGATCCCCATGCCAACAGTAAAAATAATAGAAAGTCTATAGTCAATGAAAATACCAATCATTTAATTGCTTCAAGATTCAATAGCCAAAAAAATCACAACTCAAAGTACCACACATCTTCCTACAAGCATCGAAACCAGTTTCGTAGGAATCAATACCACCATGGTTCTCCAAATATGGATATTGATCGTACATTGCACCTTGATACTTTACGCCCTATTTATGGTCACACATCGAACACTGATGATAAACCTTTTAAGGACCGCAAACAAAGAGATGCTGGGCCCACTAGCAGCTATCTTAAAAAAAACCCAACATTTCCTAATGGAAATCAATATACGCATGGTAAGGAGAATCGACATCTTCCAATCCGATATTACAATAAACGTAAGCACAAAAGAGACCGAATTGATGATCGACTTAGCAATGATAATTTGAAAACACACAAAAAAAACATTGACCAGTACAAAGAGCACAGACATAAACATAAAAAATACCACTCCAGATCCAATTATAACAAAGACAACGATAAAGAAGAAAAAAAGTCGTTCGAAAATATATTCAAAAAGGACAAAAATACGGATTCTTACAAAGAAAATCGACATAAACATAAAAAACCGTATAAATATGGCAAAAGGCACCATAAGGTTACCAAAAACACTTTGATAAATAAGATCGACCATCAATCTAAATCTGATAAACAAACTCAAATAAAGTTGAAGAAACAAAAGAAACAACCAGATGATGAAAGGCCTATTAAAAACAAGCAAAACATGACAAATGTGGTAATAACAGAAGGAAACAAACAGCTTAAAATTGAAGAGCAAATACGTAAACTTAGAAAAGAAGACCAAAGAAAACAGGAACATTTACTTAGAGAAAAAGAACGTAGATTTGAAGAATATAGACGTAAACGTAAAGAGGTAAAAATTAAACAACATAAACGTATAGTGGAACTAAATCTAAAATTTAAAAAACAACAAAGTGAATGTGATAAAAAAAGAAGACGGACATATTGTCAATCTCAAAGCTCAAATAGTCGGTCGAGAAAAAAATGCCTTCGTCGTTTTCGCAGTGAGTTTCAAGAATGTAGTAAAAAATTAAAAAAGTTGAGAAAAAAAGAACTTAGTAAGGAAAACACTAACAGTGCTTTGCAATACCTTGAACGTAAACATAAAAAGGAAGAGGAAAAGGAAGAAAGTACACGTAAACGTAGAGTGGAAGAAAGTACACGCAAACTTGAAGAGAAAATACGTAAACTTAGAGAGGACGCACGTAGACAACAAGAACATCAACTTAGAGAGAAAGAACGTAAACGTAAACATAAACTTGAAGAGGAAGCACGTAAACGTAAACTTGAAGAGGAAGAACGTAAACGTAAACTTGAGGCAAAACGTAAAATTGCTGAGGAAGAACGTAAACGTAAACTTGAGGCAAAACGTAAAATTGCAGAGGAAGAACGTAGACTAAAGGAACATAAAATTAGAGAGGAAGAACGTAAACGTGAACTTGAGGCAAAACGTAAAATTGCAGAGGAAGAACGTAGACTACAGGAACATAAAATTAGAGAGGAAGAACGTAAACGTAAAATTAGAGAGGAACTACTTAAACGTAAACTTAAGGAGGAAGCACGTAAACGTGAAATTGAAGAGGAAAAACGTAAACTAAGAGAGAAAGAACGTAGACGACAGGAAAACAAACTGAAAGAGGAAGAACGTAAACGCAAACTTAGAGAGGAAGAACGTAAACGTAAACTTGAGGAGGAAGAACGTAAACGTAAACTTGAGGAGGAAGAACGTAAACGTAAACTTCAGGAGGAAGCACGTAAACGTAAAATTGAAGAGGAAAAACGTAAACTAAGAGACGAAGAACGTAAACGACAGGAAAACAAACTAAAAGAGGAAGAACGTAAACGCAAACTTAGAGAGGAAGAACGTAAACGTAAACTTGAGGAGGAAGAACGTAAACGTAAACTTCAGGAGGAAGCACGTAAACGTAAAATTGAAGAGGAAAAACGTAAACTAAGAAAGGAAGAACGTAGACGACAGGAAAACAAACTAAAAGAGGAAGAACGTAGACGAAAGGAAAACAAACTAAAAGAGGAAGAACGTAAACGTAAACTTATAAAGGAAGAACGTAAACGTAAACTTGAAGAGGAAGAACGTAAACGTAAACTTCAGGAGAATGCACGTAAACGTAAACTTGATGAGGAAAAACGTAAACTAAGAGAGGAAGAACGTAAGCGTAAAATTAGAGAGGAAAAACTTAAACAACATAAATTTGAAGAGGAAAAACGTAAACGTAAACTTAAAGAGAAAGAACGTAGACAACAAGAACCTGTTCCAAGCATAACTGTTCAGACAAGAACAACGACCGAACCCACAACAACACCAAGTATAACGATAAGACAGCGAACCACAAATACGAGTCAACCAACCACAACGACAAGCCAACCAACCACAACAGCCAACTTGACAAAGGACACACTGAATGAAGATCTTAAAAAAGAACTCATCAAAGAAACGAAAGGTATATAATATTTTAGGAAGGGCAAAGGTCAAGGTCACTATTTTTTTTTTTTTTGGAAAAATGGTTTGCGGGTGATACATTGAGTTTCCCTTGCTAGATTAGAATGAAACTTATACAGATTGAAGATATGAGGGTAGGGGTAGAAACTCGGGGGGGGGGGGGGGGGGGGGGGGGGGGGGGGGTACGTGCACTTCGACCGTTTTGTGGTAGGGGTGAGCAGCATCGAGTATCCGACCCTTTTCATATATTTTTAATAACAAAAATACATACATAATCAATTATTTTTTGACAAAAAATATACCTGTACTAAGCTATGTTGCTTGAGATAAATAGATTTGACAAATATCTAATGCATTTATGACTGTAGTTTTCACGCATCTCTGAAAAAAATCGACATCTGATTAGTTTCAGATACGTTTTTATCTCAAAAAATATCGACCTTATCACATGTCACAGCGTCTAATCCCTACAACACATTTCATGGAAAATACCCCCCCCCCCCCTTTTTTTCCCTCCTGGGTAGAATTCTTTTGATTTTGGTGTCAATTTGTCAAAGGTATATGTTACTTTTGTCAAAAGTATATGTTACTTTAACAAAAAAATAGATTTTGATTTTAGCCCACCTGGCCCTGAGGGCCAAGTGGTCTTTTCTCATCACTTAGCGTCCATCGTCCGTTTACTTTTACAAAAATCATCTCCTCTGAATCTACTGGGCCAATTGGCACCAAACATAGCCATAATCATCTTTTGGTTATCTAATTTAAAGTTTTGTCCGATGACCCCGCTTGCCAAACAACATATTTTTCTCACACCGATTCAGAAATTTGAAAATAGCATGAAAATTAGAGAATATAGATTCCACCATTGCAACAAGTGTGTTACGATATTTCTCCACTCGAGACAGTTAAATTTTAATATTTAAAGCGCGAGGCTTGTCGAGCTCTTAAAATATTAAAATTTAACTGTTGAGAGTGGAGAAATATCGTAACACACGAGTTATAGTGGTGGAATCTGTTTCTCTAATGATTTTTATCCTTCCTTTTCAAAGATTTGCAGAAAGTTGTGTTCTTTATGTGTGACGTCATCAGGCATGGTCGCCTTGTTTCATGACGTCACAATCGGGAATTCAGAAGAAATCAAGAAAATTTAACGTCATAATTAAATTTCGACCAATCATTTGCCGAGAAAAGATATTTTACTAGTGAGGAGAACAATTTTTTCACAATCGATTGGGAAACGTGAAAAAAGTGACAAAATTAGAGAAAGAAATGTTCAAAATGTTGAGATCTACTTCTGTTTGATTACATCAAAACTGTCAGACGACTTTTTACAGGAGTTATTGCCCTTCAATCATGAATCTTACCATTTTTTTTTTCAATTTGCTTTTTATCTTGAAAACTATTTAAAGATATAGAGAAACTTTTAAAAGCAAAAGTTATCACCAACACTATATTTACAAATATAAAGTCAACTTGGCCAGTCAGTCAACTTCTTATTGGAGTTATTTCCTTTTAATGACGAGTTTTACCATTTTTTGTTGTTTTCGACCATTATCCTGAATATTTTAATTCGGTTGCTATAGCAACAATGTATCGGAATCTGCAATCAAAATCATAAAGACTTAAACATTTTTCTTTCTTTCGTAAGGAAAACTACATCAGTGCTAAGAAAGTGAATACCAAGATATATAATAAACCATCAAAGAGCTGTGTTTTATTTAATATGCTTTCTAATGTTCTTATTTTATCTTATTGTGAATACATAGAATCGTTTTCATAACAGCGTAGACAACCGTAAAACTTTTGTTGATTATAATACTGAATGAGTTACCTTTAACTTGTTTGTCATTGGCTAACGTAACAATGATTTTACGCTCACTCAGTCTGTCAGAGGCCTTCCAGTGGGGATTTAAATAATGATCACTTGTTACACATTTCGATACATAAAATGAAACTTTCTTTTCACAAAACTTTAAAAGATTTGTTTTAAATATTTGTTTATACCATCACATACAACAGTTTCATTTTAAAGAATAATAATGTTCAGAGCTGATATCATTAAATAATCCAAAAATACGTTTATTCATTGTAAAAAACTTTTAAGTTCATGGGGTTAATTCACAAAATATCTTATTGATTACGAGAAGAAGTACTTCTACGTTGTAATCATTTTAAAAGAGTGGCCTACTGTTTATTTAATGCATACATGTAGGTTTTGTTTGTGAAGAGTTCAGGATAATTAAAAAATCATTTTATTTTTTTTTTAATACCTTGATTTTTTTTTTACATATATCGATTCATTCATTCAGATATTTATCAGTTTGTCCTGGCTATTCAAGTCCTACACAACGTCTCACGAATTTGGTCTTTTTCTTACAAAAATTATATTCTTGTGATGTATTCTTTTGTTGAAGAATGAATGTTGCCCCTTTTTTAATTTTTTGTCGGTTATTTTTTGTGTCTCATTGACATATATGACAACCGGACTACCCCTTTCTTCATATTTAAAAAAACATACGAGTGACATCAATACCAATTCATGACACAAAATAACTAAGTTAAACTTACAACAGAAGAAAGATAATGAACATTTTATGGTCTACTTAATATCGAAGTCAGAATGTGGTCTTTGTAAAGATGTTGTAAATTAATCAAAAACAACAAAAAACTAAATAATTTGAATATTTATATTGGAAAAAGTAACGTTGTGTAAATCATTACAATTATTTTATTCCAAATGAATATCAAGCTGTTGCATTTTTCCGCTGCGAGCAAATTTTGACTTTTGACCGCATTTTTAAAATTAATTTTCTTGCTGTAATCCTGTTGGAAACTGCGCTGTATAGTTTATTTTTCGTTTATTGTTTATTGCCAAATATAGTCAAGACAGACACACAAAGTTTGAAAGGTTACATGTTAAAATAGTGAATGGAAATGGGAAATGTTTCAAAGAGACAACAACCCGACCAAAGAGTAAACAATACAGCCGAAGGCCACCAACGGGTCTTCAACACAGCGAGAAAATCCCGCACCCGAAGGCGCACTTCAGCTGGCCCTTTCACAAAAATGTGTACTAGTTCAGTGAAAATGGACATCACACTGAACTCCTAAACAAATAAATGAACTAAAATTAAAAAACATACAAAATGAAGACTAACAAAGACCAGAGGCTCCTGAGTTGGGACAGGAGCAAAAAATGCGGCGGGGTTAAACATGTTTAGTGAGATCGCAACCCTCACCCTATATCTCTAGCCAATGCAAATTAAACAAACACACAGCAATACACCGCTACATATTGTGCCAAAGTCGGGCTGGGGAGGGTGCATGTTATACTGATTTAATCCTGCAGCAATTTTAGCCAGGGAGGGGTTGCATGTTAAACTGCATTAGCCCACTAAATTTTGAGCCAAACGTCCGGCTATCCGGGTTTTGTGTTAAATTGTTCATTGTTGATTAAACGTCTATTTTACTATATATTTATGGACAGGACTCGATGGTTTTTGTTGTTGTGGTCTCTTAATTTTCCTACCTTTTATCTTTTTTGTTGTATAACAGATCTAAAGCCGTTTAATTACGAAACTATGTGCAATATATTTGTAACCCTCAGAAACGTGTCCTTACCCCCAAACGTGTCCGATTCCCCCAAACGTGTCAACATGACGTCACTGAACTGCAAAACATGTCTAAATGTAAAAGGGCGCCAAAGCGTGTCATTTTTATCAACGTCCAATCGTGTCCATTTTTCAGTTGGAAAGCAAGTCCTTGGAAACGTCCGTTGTCGTCAAGCTCTATCAGCAACAATAGCAGGGGGGATTAATTAGGTGGCGCTACAGTCGTGCGCCAAATCAATCGGCTAAAAGATTGACGTTTAAAGTATTTATTTCAACTTGTCATGCTTAAAATTATTATAATTGAATTTTAGAATTTGTAGGTTTTGCGACCAATATAGTTTCAATACGTCATAGAAACATTATCAAAAATAGCTTGTTATTGCTATTTCTATGTCCTGTCCGTTTTAAAAAATTTCAGCCATCTTTTTTGTTCGCCAAAAACATCGATTTTTCATAACTTGACGTTTGCGTATCCAAATACGGAAAAGAACGGTATCAATCTTAAATGAAACCGGGTAAACTATTTCAAACTTCTACACAATTTTGAAGCCATCATTTTTTACTATTATACAACAATTTTGGTGACCACCAGTCATGTCAATTTGTACCTTGCTTTGGCTGCGTTTCTACTTCAAAACAGTAAAGTTCAACTTCTTTTCATTGTACCTGTTTCCAAAGTATTCTAAAATCCTGATTTTATTATATATATGAATGAAACTGTGATTAAAAATTGTTGTTTTTCACAGTTCCATACGATACCTCCATTTTAAAGTAATTAAAACCCTTTTTGATCCCCTACACAAATTGACGGTGACATTGTATTCTTTTTCAACATACGTCATATATAACGTTCAAAATATGTGTCAGGGTCATGTGCATAGTGAAAATTTAAACATTGGAAAAGTGAAACAGCAAACAAAGTTCTTCTTTATGGCGTTTGAAACTATAGGTCTAAGAAAATTTCATTTATACTGGAAGCAAATATGACAAATTAATGATGACCTATGCCTGGATAAACAAAAGCACAAAAATAGCAATAGAAAATGCGTTGCAAAGAAAACTTCTGGAGGAAAAAACATATGAAAAAAGGAAATGAAGGTCAGTTAATTATATTTGTATTTTATAAGTTAAAAACCTTGCTTATTAATTATCTCTTTACTAAGTAAGCTACATTAATAAGAGCAAACACTTGGTTTTCAAGTCAAACAAGAAATTAATTCATAGAGATGTGTTCTTACAAAATTGAATTTATTCAAAAGGCAAATTCTTGTCAAATTTAATCATCATTGATCATTATTAAAGTAAAATGCACAAGATTTGTCATACCAACTTTCATTTCTGAGATTAATATCCAATTATTCAGGTAAAATATACAATGCTTTGTTTATAA